TAGAAAAGAATAAACATACTATATTTTGACTTATTGTTTATAATCTACAAACGTCTTGGCGAAACTAAAAAAAAGTTTAAATCGCATAGTTTAAATAGATTACAAGATAAATAGAAAGTTTTAAAATACTCGACGTCTTGTAGAGAAGAAGGTGTAGTTTCTAAATTTTTATACCACAACCTTGACGAATTCGTATTCGTGGCTGCGAATCCATTTTTGTGATTCTCGTGACGGAAAATCGTTACTTTAATAATACTTTAGTATATCGAGATGATCTACAAAAATCAGCCAATCACAATAGAAGTTCGCCATGCTAATTTGTCGATTTTGCCGATCTATGCATAAAATCTGTACCATTGATTGTACCTCGTGTATGTTTGATTAATTAGTATATGAAATACCCCATTTATACATGTTTTGAGAACTATGATCCACAACACGATAAATATTCCTGGTTGATGCTAAGTCTATAAGATAATAATCTTAGGATCGCGACATAAGATCACGTGAGTCTCGAGATCAGTAGATTATGTATGAAATACGTATTTTCATAATCATAAAGTCAGGTGATATTATTCAAAAAGAATTTTAACACCGGTTAAAATTTTATTTTTTAGAGAATATGAATATTAAAATTGGTGACGTAAAAAAAATTCCTATCAAATATCAAATATATAATAGTAAAGAAATTTTAACTTATTATTTTTTTTCTATAAATAAATTCTAAATTATAAAATTATATCCGTATTAATCTAGTTATATTCGTTCTAACTCTAATTCCGGTTTGATTACTTAATCAGTGCACCCTTTACTTTCAATTCCACATAATTAATAGAAGTTTCTGCAAACATAATCAATGTATTCTTAACGAAAACAAGATTAGCAATACCATTTGGTATGACGATCTTACCAAGTAATGTACCAGAATTATCAAACACTTGAACACCGTCACCGGTTCCAGTGTATATATTGCCCTCTAAATCAAATTTTATGCCATCAGGAATACCAACGTCAACCACAGCAATTAATCTACGATTCGATAAAATGTTGCAATTTACGTCGAATACATAAATGGCATGTGGTCTATTAGGATCGAATCCTCCAGTACCATTAAAAAAACCAGTGTCAGTTACATATAATATTTTCTCATCCGGAGAAAAAGCAAGACCATTTGGTTTAATAAAACCATCAGCTGCTACGCGAATATTTCCAGTGTAAGGGTCAAAACGATAAACGTTTTCACCAAGTTGTGGTGTATCACGAAATCCTTGCTCAAAACCATAGCTTGGATCCGTAAACCAATAAGAGCCATCTTTTGTGACGACAATGTCATTGGGACTGTTAAATTTTAAACCGAAAAAGTTATCAACTATAGTGGTAACTTTTTTAGAAATAGGGTCAAAAGAAACAATCGATCCACCAACATTTCCTTGACCTTGAGCGCAAACAATAACTTTGCCATCATGGTAGGTCATGCCGTTAGCGAAAAGGATTGGGTCTTCCGGAGTGACATTTAAAGATACTTTTTTAGTCGAGAGGTTAATTTTACTAATTTGTGTTTTTGTGTTGTTATCTAAGCGATTTGAAGTGAAAAATACTTCATTAAGTTCTTCTACATAGGCACCACCTTCATGTGCGAAGGCATAATTTTCACTAGCAAGTAATTTTAACTTTGGATTTTTTCCAATAATATCATAGAATTTTTGATTATAGACGAGGAAACTTTTTGACTTTAATTGCTCAATGAAATGAGAAGCTTTAGAGTTTTCATTAACTGTTGTGTTCGCAAAGGGCTCTAAAACTGGACGAGTGAAATTACTTCCTAGTACCGAGAGACTTGAAGGAACACCTAATAATAATTTTAAATTATTAAAACAAAGTTTATCATATTTCAGTATTTGAGAGTAAACTATTTCTATAAAAAAAATCAAATACTTACTTGTTAATTTAATAGGTGAGGCAATTGTTAAGTAAACATTTAGAATAAGGATGCAATAAAATTTTATTACGACAATACAATTTAATTTCATAATGACAATTTATATTAGGCAAGATTAATTATAAAAGTGAAAAAAATTATTGATAGAAATAGTGAGTGATGATTTCTACGTAATGTAACGATGAATTATAAAATGACAATAAAAATTACAGATAATAATAGATTAATGAAGAAACGATAATTTCAAGTGTCATTTTATACCAAGAACGAAGTGATATGTTACACGGTAAGATCTCTTAAATGTACCTTCTATAAGTGCACACCCTCTCTAAAATTTCTGCCAAATATATATATGACTTCCATAAATACTCCTTTCTTATTGTTCTCCAAGTACACGTTGTTAAAGTCTGGTCTAAGGTGCTTGCACTTAGAGAGGTTTCATTATCTTATGGAATGCAATTATAGAGGCTTGATTGCACGTAGATATATGATTGTCATTGCATTTTTATATCAGATATGTACTTACGTATATTCGCAAAATTTATTTAAATAATAAAAATTTTATTGTGTAATGCATTAAACGAAGTTAAAAGTGTGAAATTATGCAATTATTACATCGCATTTTGCAGAATTAAATGTTTGTCATAAATGGAAAACTCGTTAAATAAAATTCGAATTTTTCCCCTTACCTACTTCTTTTTTTTAGTAACTGAAATTAATGTAACAAACGAAGTGTCGCGCAAATTATAGTTGTCGTCCAAATAGTTATACCTATTTGTCCAAATTGGTTAAATCTGAATTTTGTTCATTTTATGCAGTAAATTTGGCAATAGTTCCACGGCTTTAACCATCCAAAACCATAGAAAGTACTAAAGTCCCAAGCTGTAGGTTTGATGGCAGCTATAGTGCATATGCAGTGAGACTATGCGAAATATAATTAATATTGTTATGAAAAGTGGTGACACAGAATATGTATTGGAATTATAGTCACGATATCTGTCATAAACCATAGTTAAAGATTTTACAAATTATTATGATGATACAAAGTATATGGTTAAAGTTGTGTTAATTTTTGTGTTAGAATTTTAATTGAACATCCTAATATAATTTATTGTAAAAAATTTTATTACAAAACTTACCACACTGTTTGTTATGTTAATTGCGGTAATTGATTTTCCTGATTCAAGATTATTGCAAATACGTAAGTGTAATAATTTATAAATAATGATTATCGTATTTGACTAACTAAAATGTCAAATTGAAATATCGATTATCGTTATTTAATTACCTAAAAATGTCGAATTGAAATAAATAATGAAATCCAATCACACAGGTTGAATGATGGAAATCAGGTATAAATTACCTGATTACTGTCAATTTTTGCTGCAGCAAAGATCGACATCAAGCGGGCAGTACCCGATTTGCCATCATTCGACCAGTGCCAATTACATCCCCATATTCAAAAGTTCTAATTACAATATCTTGATTTATACTTTTCCACCCTGCTAGTTATATACGTGTACATACAATTACCCCCATCCCTAGTATAAGTTGATTGATAAAAATATTGACATACAAATGAAAAAAAAAATGTAGTAGTAAATGTTTGCCTGCTTAAATTTTGCATCTAATCCGCGTTATGCCCATAATGGAACTTATATGGAAATGGACCAGGAAAATAGCCTTTAGTGCTTTGTTTAAGATTTTTT